ATGCATTAATTTTTTTAATAAAATTTGAAATTATAGTTATGTATATAGCAACTTAAATGTATATATTATAGCTAGATCACAAGTTGTTATAAAAAAAATATCTGAAAAAAAGATAATATTAAAAAAATATTGGACCATCATTATAATAAATATAGCTTCATATATATGAAGTTAGAGGAAGAATCATTGATGAGATATGTCTCATAGACCCTTTTCTTTGAATTTTCAATTGATATTTATGTTTTAATAACAAATTTATTCTCTTCGTACCAAATAGGTGACATCTTTCAAAACATGAGGGTCAATTAATGCATTAATTTTTTTAATAAAATTTGAAATTAAAGTTATGTATATAGCAACTTAAATGTATATATTATAGCTAGATCACAAGTTGTTATAAGAAAAATATCTGAAAAAAATAATAATGTTAAAAAAATATTGAACCATTATTATAATAAATATAGCTTCATACATACGAAGATAGAGGAAGAAACATTAATGAGATATGTGAACACATTCTTAATAATTATTCTTGAGAATATAAGTTATAACCTATATACACTATCGAAAGGTAGAAGCAAGAGTTATAGTTTTAAATTTATTGATTTTGTCTTTTATAAGGGTTTTTTTTTTAGGTTTTGAATATATTATATATACATATTTAATGGACGTTTAACATGAATACAATGTATAAATCAAGCATATACCGGTTTTGCATATTGTAAACAAAAATGTAGCTTCGTTCCTGTCTAAATCAAGCCTCCTTAAAATATGAGATTACAATTTTTGAAATTAAGATATATTATTTGTTACAAAGATAAAGATGACTTGATGATATAAATATTAGTTTTACACTAATGATTATAGGTTAAACTCTTTAATGTAATGAAACTTAGTATATGAGATATTCATGCACTACTAAAAAAAATCATTATTTTTTTAACTGGAAAATATTCAATGACCATTCTTAAATAAATATTTTGATTGAATCAGCAGGAACAAAAAAATAATAGTATATTTACACAAAAAATTAGAAAGCTTTCAAATGTTTTAATGATAATCTGTTTTTATCATGCATTTTTTCAATGATCTAGTACGATGAAAAAAAAACATATTTTTATAACGCAAATTTCTAATAATGATGATAATAAAAAAAATTTAAACATCACTTATGTAATTATATTGAATATGTTATTATTATTGTTGTTGAAATTCATGATTGTAAAAATGTCTATTTGTGATATTAAAGCACATAGATGATGTTACTAATATTTTATTTTGGAGTGGATAGCTAAAAATGGTATCTCATTCTTTCACATGCCATAGCTACTAAAAAGGCTGACAAAGAGATCTAAAGACAACCTTTGACTTCCCCTAACTATTTCTTTTACCAAGTAAGGTGAATATTTTAGTTCTTTCTCCATTTTCCAAGTAACTCAAACATAGCAATATAAAATTTTTGGTGAAAAGGAGAAACTATTACCCCATTTCAATCCAAAGTCAAAAATATTCATATTCATCTTAATATATTTTTTACCTCAAATATGTAAATGTAAATATCCATTAATAGAGTCTCGAGAGAGAAGCGGAAAGTCACTTAACTATGTATTGTATTGTGTTATTTAAAAAAGAATAATATTATTTCGTTATTAAAGGTTGTTCGATTTAGAATTATACTAGTACAAATAATACATGAACTAATTAGTTGCATAGGGTTTAGTTTTTATTTATAACTAATCCATATATTAGACTACTAGTTATTCACCTCTATTTTCAGATAAAATAATATTTATTATTTATTGAGATTATATTAATGTTAAATTATCATAATCAAAATTATACTTGGTGTGCTAAATTTTATAAAAAAAAACAACTAAAAAGCAACCAAACGAGATAGTACTAATTCCTTCATCTTAAGACTTTTCTATAACGTTCTAATAATTAAGAAGCTTTTATAGTAATAGTAGCATATTTACAATTACAAATTTTACAAAGTTTTTTTCTTTTTAAAATTATGTATCGATTAAATTATATTATATAAATCCAAACGATTGGCGTAAACAAAAAAGAAAGTTACAAAAGGGAAAAAGAGAAATTTTGTAATTGAGTTGAATGTGTTCCAAGTAAATTTAGGTGGAGGATAATTTGATCACCATATATGAAATGACAAGTATCTCTTCATTTTTAATCAGAAGTAAATTATGGATTCGAGCCTTAATATAGAGTCGCTTTGCGTGAGAAGCACTTTATCATTTAAATTAAAATTTCCAAAAATGACTTTAGATTAATCAAATCTTAATACGAGTATTGAATACGGAGTGGAAATCAAAAGAAAACAATTAACCAAAAAAAGATATTCCACCATATTCCTATGATTAGTGAAGAAAAAGTGTCACTTAGAAAAAGGGCTTTGACCTTTTTTAGATGGTTAAATCTAGGCTTAATCTTCTCCTACACTTCTAAGTAAACCTTAGTCTTCTAAATTATTATTTTAATAATAATTAATTCTTGTTCTTTAATATTTTTTAAAATAAATTAAAATCTACCCCACCACCTCTGTTTTAATTAATGCTCGTCTTTCAAGTCTCTTTCCCTTTTTGCAAGTGTTTCTGCATTTGAGTATATTATTAATTAAATAGATAATTAATTAATTAATTAATTAATAATTAATTAAATCTTTTTCTCTGATTTTGGGCTCAGTAATTAAGGAATTGATGGGTAAAGGCTTCGGTCGGTTGTGAGGCCTTTTCTTGTCTCCCCTCACTTAAATCTTTTTGTTTGACCATTTGGTATTTAATTATTTATAATTTATTGATTCGATTAATTTAAATTTATTTATTATAAATATAAAAATATTGAAATCCAAAATCTATAATGAAAATAGAGATTTTTTCATAAATAATGTTATTTGCATTATTGTTATAAAATATAGTGAGATTTTTATTTTATTTTTTGAAATATAGCAAAATATATTATATTCGTACATATCAAATTAAATCCCAAATGCAAAAGTGTGAATACAATATCTAATTGTATATGTCACTACTTGAAAAATAATTAAAATTGACACATGTTGTTGATTTTTAATTATTTTTTTGAAGAAAATAATACGTTCGGTCGATTTTTATTTTTTATTTTCTTTTAAAAAATCTTTAGAAAATCAATAGAGTCCCTTTGTTTGTTTAAAATGGAAATTGAGGGACATTAACAATTTTTGAAGTGGAAAAATGCATTTGAGGATATAAATAAAATTATATCGATTTTTTATTTAAGGAAATTGACAGACACACCTTAATTTTCACCTAAGAAAATTGAGGGAATATGTCGATTTACTTTAACCAACCCACCATTTTCTGACATAGTCGACTTCTCCAGCTTAGAATCGATTTTAGGTATTAAAAAAAAGTAAGATTGTTTTTTTTTTAATTTTGGCCCTCGATTTTTAATTTTTTTTATAGTGTAGATATACGTATCAATGTATGTATGTGTTTTTAAAAACAAAACTATATATATGTGAAATACATCAACATTATATATATAGCTAATAGAATCTAATATATATGCTCTCAAATTGTACATGCGTAACAATAGCCATATATATTGAAGGCCAGCTGTACATAAATAGTATGAATAACTAATGTGCTATCATATGTTAAACAGTACCATAGTCTAAAAGAATTACACATTATATCATCAATATAAGTGATTTAAATCCATACTTAAAATAGATCAGAAATACTATCTTAATAAGATGATTTATAAGACACATAAATATTTATGATTTATTTGAGTCTATTTTCTTCTTTTTAAAATTATATATCAAATCAAATAATAACATATCAGTTGAAACAGAGAGAGTATAGTATATAAATCTTAAACTAAACGAGTGAGCACATACATTCACATTTGTTTCCAATATTACAATACACTTTTTTTTTGTCCATTTTTACTTATTCAATATTGATTCTAACATGTTTTTTTTAAAAGTATTAAATAAACTAATAATTTTACTTTACATTTGTTTCCTTTAAATAATTTTACTATGTCATCCGCTCAAGTGCATCGAACCCAAGTAAAAGAAGAAGAAAATAATGAAGAAAGCATAACCATTAATAAGAAAAGTTATGCAAAGTCTAAGAGAAAGAAAGAAAGTAACAATAACAACAAAATAGTGTGGTAATCAAAAACACATCACACAACATAAGGCAAGAACTACAAGGGTACGATTAGTACTACCACATGCACTAACTAGCCTTTACCAATGCATGTCAAGATAACACTTCACTCTTACTAACTTTTTATCCTAACACGCGACTTCCACTCCTTCCTATCTGGAGTCATGTCCTCCCTCGGTAATATGAAGTTGTGTCATGACATGTATAATAACCTCTCCCCAATATTTTTTTAGATTACATGTACCCCCTATAACCAGCCTTTTGCACATCCTCATTAAGGTGTTAATGCACCTGCTTTGTACATGTCCAAATCATATTAGTCTCGCTTCTCCTATCTTTTCCGCTACATATGTCACTCACATTTTCTCTGGAATAACTTCATTTCTTAGAAATTTAATAATAAATTATTATTATAATAATAAATATTTGTTTTTAATATAATAAACAAGTAAACTCTTGCCCCCTAAAAATAATTTCAAGAAAAAAAAAACTCACCTTTATCAAAGCTTTTACTATATATAAACTAGCTACCACTTAACAAATAAAAACTCAATTGTTCTCTCTCTCATCAACTCTCCTTCTCCTCCCTCTCTCCCTGTCTATTCTTTTTTCACTAAAACAGAGCAACTCGTCATTTCTTCAACATCTCTGTGTACACTGCGTTCAGTTTGTTGAAATTTTCGCAAAAATACAGACCTACTAGTAGGAGTTCTTTGTTGAAATTAAAGAAAAAAAACAGAGCAACTTTGTTGAAGTAGTTACAAAAACAGAGCAACTCATCGGAGTTACAAAAACAGAGCAACACAAAAAAGGGGCATTTTCATACATGATAATAATGTCTACAGAGCAACCAAATTGTTCAGAAAGTACTGAATCTAGCTGCAACTCTTCTTCTTCTTCGTCGCCCTCATCGCCATCTTTTGTTCTTCTTCAACCACTTCCGCAAATCAATTCGAAAAATCGACTCAAAAGATGTAGGGGAGAAGAAGTAGAAGAACAAAACGAAGTCGTTAATAATGCAAATCCAAAGAAGATCAGTAAAAACAACAATGGTGGTAGTACTGATGTTTCGTATGTAGGTGTACGAATGAGAGCATGGGGTAAATGGGTATCCGAAATCCGTGAACCTAAAAAGAAATCACGGATTTGGTTGGGTACCTTCGCTACCCCGGAAATGGCGGCGCGTGCTCACGACGTCGCCGCCATGTCCATTAAAGGTTCCTCAGCTATACTCAATTTTCCCCAATTTTCTCATTTATTGCCTCGACCCGCCACGTGCTCCCCACGTGACGTCCAATCCGCCGCCGTAAAAGCCGCTCACATGGATCACCTAAACCCAAAATACTCTTCGTCGCCCGAAACCCCGCCAGCATCGATGACGTCATCGTCATCGTCGCTGTCGTTGGTTTCAGGCATTACGTCCTCCTCGTCGTCCTGTGAAAAGGACGACGAGGAGTCAAGACCGTCGCCTCTGGAAGAAGTTTTTCTTGTACCGGAGGCGACGGGGCAGCTGAGTGAGATAGTGGAGCTGCCGAAATTGGGATCGAGTTATGAATTGGTTGAGTCAACTCAGAGTTTATTCGAATCAGATGAATGGTGGGATAATAATTATGGAAATTGTGAATATTATTTTGGTCAAGAAAATTATATTAGTAATATGGAATTTACAGGATTAGAAAATGTGGTCTCAACCAGTTTTGAGAGTTTTTTATGGCAACATTAGAATAAAAAAAATAATGTTGTTTTTTTTTTTTTGCGTAATTTTTTTTTTTTTTTTTTATAATTAATTTACACTTTAGTTTTTTCTTCTTTGTAATTTAGGTGGAAACTATTGATGAACTTTATACGTTTCTTGCATCTCCAGTTTGCTATGGTATTTTTACAGCTATTGATCCTCTTTATGATCTCATCTCCTTTTTCTTAATCTATGGAGAAAAAAAAAAACTGTGTACACATTATTCTTTCGAGCTTTAGTATAAATTTGTGTTGGATGAGCTCAATAAATAGACGTATCAAGAAAGAAAAATAGTCCAATTCAAATTTGTACTTTTCTGTCTTCAATGTGAAAAGGAAGTGTAGGTGTTACAATATATTTGTGTTGTTATATTTTTATTAGATTATTGATTACTTTATTTATTGTGATTAGTTGCAAATACAGTAAAAGAACAGTTGAGTAATTAAAGAATTTTTTTTTTGGTTAATTTGTATTTGTAACAGTTTGGTGACATGGTTGAATGATAAAAGCTAAAGGATTGTAAATTCATTTTTTTTTTCCTCCTCTTAATACTCGAGGTTCATTGATCAATAAAAAATTCTAACTCTCTTTTTTTTCGCTGATGATATTATTTACCGAATCAGATTATTGATATTTATTTGATTTTATATATCTTATTAGGAATATTGATTTTATAAAAAATATTAATACTCTTACATTGTATATTAAGGCTACAAGAAAATATTTAAAGTGATTTGCATATAGTTTTTGATTACCGATATGATTATGTATTTTTTTATATAAAATTGATACTAGGAGAACACTTGTTTAAAAGTAGTTGTAGGAGTACCTACAGATATGATTATATGGTAAAATCTAATAATGAAAGTAACAACTTTTAACCTTTTTGTTGGTTGATGGAATTTTAAGTCGTGTTAAATTTTATCAATATAAATAACGTGAAATAATTGAGATTTTTTCATTCTTAATTAAAGATTCTAGTGTTTGAGTTTGAATCCATGAAAAATTAAAAAAATAGGGAGCACTTCTTTCAGAAATGACCCTATTATAATACGAGAATTTAAATTTAATTTGGTTTTAATACACCGAATACGAGAAAGAAAAGTTGTGTTAACTTTTGAATTTGAACTTTATGCCTAAATAATCATTTCTTCAAGAGATTAGAAGAGCACACGTCCTTCTTCTTGTTCTTAATTTGTGAATTTTTTTCGTAAAGTAAACTCAAAGTCAATTATAATCCTTGTTTTTATTCCATAGTATATTCGAATTTAAAGACTTAATCACACAATTTAATTAATTAAGTAGAATTGGTATGAAGAAAGATCAATATTAAATTTAGTTGACACATGTTGTAACTAATACATACGACTAATCACTATGTTTAATTAGTAGTAAGTGGTACCATCACAAATTATATTTCAAGTAGTCACGTGGTGATTAATTTTAGAATTAGTCAATGTCTAGACATAAATGCAAAATTGTGGAAAAAAGATACTAGAACTAACTTACTCCATGCAATTATATTTTACTCTCTATTAGATTTAGTAGAAAATAGCTCGATTCACGTCGAAAAGTCTCATTTTAAAATAAATTATTTTTTATTAAGGGTAGTTTCTTTCTTAAGATTTGAATTCAAAATATTTGTCATCTTATTAGTTATCACAATCTTTAATGATAAAAAAAAATATTGACTTTTGTTTGAGCAATTGATCGATGAATATTTTCAATATCGAACATCAAAAAGTAAAGTAAAAATCTTGAATCATTCACCTATAGTTAAATCTAAAGTCTCAAATTTGAATCATGAATTTTTTTTAAAAAAAATATTTTAAGAAAAAAAAATCAGTGAAAATATTATTTATGAGTCAAATTCTTATGAATATCTAATTAGACACTTCATCAACAGTTCTCATTTTCTAATAGTCCTAAATCTTATCATTCCACTACAGTCTTTAACGATATAACAAAAAATATCAACATCTCAAGTCGATCTTTTGTTCGAGCAAATGTGCAATGTCATCTTCAATATCGATCACCAGACAATTAACAAACCAAAAAAAAAAATCTTGAATTATTCACTCTCAATAGATCTTAAGTCCGGAATTTATATATTTTTTAAAATCATCAAAAATGTTATATCCAAAAACGATTCAAATTCCTACGAATCTCCGATTAGACACCTCGTCAAAAATTCCCATTTTTTTTAAAAATAGTACTCCCTCCGTCCCTATTTACTTGTCCATATTTCCTTTTTTAGTTGTCCCTATTTAGTTGTCCATTTTGACAAATCAAGAAAGGACAACAAATTTTTTCCTATTATACCCTTATTTACACTTCTTGAAAATTGTAAAAGTGTATGTTGTTTCCCTCCAATTTATTTCACTTTAATTCAAATAAGTAGTTGTAATTTTGAAGTGAAAAGTTGTCATAAGGGTAAAATTGTAACTTCACTGTGCTAATCATTGTTGCCTTAATCTGTGTGTCATTTCTAAAGTGGACAACTAAAAAGGGACGGAGGGAGTACTAAACTTAATAGACAACGTTTTTCTCTATAACAAACTCTACAGAACACAAATTTAAATTAGTCAGAACTTCAAGAGCAGATACCAAACACGAAGCGGAAAATCTTTTTTTGAATCATTATTCATGGTGTATATTATTTCGTACCATATATATGACCAAGAAAGGGGGTCCTAAACGAAGAGACAAATGCTGTGCTCTAAAGGTGACAGATGCTTTAATCATTTGTGTGGTTCACCTGATAACGCGTTTGCTTTGCTCCCTTTGATATTCTACATTTATGTTCTATTAATAGTAGTACTACTTATTTATAATAAAAGGAACCTTCTTCCCACACTTGAAGAATCTTCTTATATCTAATTAATTATCACTTACTTCTAATATCTACTCAATTAATTATCACTTCTTTCGACGTCTCAATATAAGTGTCTTACTTTTTCTTTTTGATCTGTTTATAATACACGCGAAAAATAAAAGAAAGGAAGGGTACTTGATGGTTTGATCATGTCATGGATCGATTACTTGATGCATCGTTTGTATGGTGAGCATAAAATAAAGATCTAACACTATAAACCTAATAAAGGGAGTTGCTCGGATGGTTATACCTTCAACTTTGAATAAGCACGGGTAAATTTATATGCAAATTTTGAAATACGTGAACCTATGATTGTTTAAATGATGTACTTAACTGGAGTGATTGACCTAGAGTACTGGTGCTTGGGATCAATTCCCGCATAATATACTTTCTTTTTAATGGTGCATCTATATTCTGAATAGTTTAGGTTCACCTCTGATGTTACGATCGAAGTTTTTAATAGTATTGACATAAATATAAATGAATGCATCTCATCCCCTAACGAATGAAGTGTTTACTCCCCGTGGAGTCAATCTATTTAAGAAAAGGGATCAAAAATTGCTTTTAATAGGTAATGTTCATCCTCAATATAAAAAAAATTAATATAAATTTAAATCTAATCGAGTTTTAATATAATTATGTAGGAATACTTAAAAAAAAATGATGTTGCAAGTGAAGTAGGACATCAAGTCAGATAATTCACTTTTTTACTTTTGTTAGCAAAGCCAAAATTGTTGCTTTCATTCAAAAGCAAATGAAGACTATATAATAAAATATTATTTATAATAAAAACTTACATGACTACTGACATTGACAACTCATAATTCATTCAATTCCTTTTGCTCATCATAATAATACTATATACTTACTTACAGCTTTGCTCCAGCTATATCAGATTCATTTCTACTACTCCCCATGCAACTTGGTTTTTTCTCCCCTCTTTCCTAAATACAGAAATTACCAAAATTTAATAAAAAAAATTAATTTTATTTTTCATTTCCAAATTAATACTTTTTTTAATTTTAATTTATGTGATCCTGTATAATGAGCAAGGTATTGTAATATAACAACAAAATTTATCGTTTCGATTATTATAATCACGTATTTTATTGTTCTTCTAAAATCGTTATATAATATATATTCTTCTTTGTTTCAATTATAATATAATTATGTATTTCTGTATTCTTCTTTTTTTGATCATAATCGTCTAGTTTGCGTGTCTTGTTTATTGTAGGGTATATGGAAATTTTATTTTTATGATATTTCTTTCATTTTATTGAGTTAATAGAATCATTTAATTATAATCTCATTCTTTAATTTTATATTATTATTATTTCATTTCTTTCAAACTTGTTCTACGAAATGGTTTTCTTTGTTGAGGGTTTATAAGAAATATTTCCTCAACTCATAAAAGCAAGGATAAAATTTGTGTACATTTCACCTTTCTTAGATCTCATTTGCGAGTGAAAATATATTGGGTACATTGTTATTATTGTTGTTGTTGATTTTTCTAATTATAATATTACTCTATATGTTCGATTAGGACTAATATTTTTTATAAAAACAAAACTTTTTAAGTATGATCTGAAATTCTTCATAAATATTTGTGTACGTATAAATTTATTTTATAAGATAAAACGAGAATTTTCAAGTTAAATTCTTTTAAGTATAGAAATGTGATATTCTTTTCGGAACATAGTAGAAAAAAGAGTATCATACTGGGAGAGGAACTTTCACCAATTTCATTTTATATGATAGTGTTTAACTGTTATAGAGTTTAAGAGAGAACAAAAAAACCTTTGGCACATGTCATAAGTGTTATTGCAACTTATAATCTTAAACATATATCATGAAATTTTGTATTTATAACAACATATCGATAAAGATAGAATCAAAAGTTAGTATTAAGAATTTCTAAATTAATTAAATGATATTAATTATTTGACTCGAAGATCTATCAAAAACAAACTCTTTATATTCACAAAATAATAAAAATGAGATGTGTGTACACATTTGGCACATTTTTAATCTTCATTTATAAAATTATACGAAATATGTTATTATAATTAAAGGGTGTCAATATATAAAGAGTATCATGTAAAATGATGTAGAACAATAATAAATAGCTTATTAT